ACTATTTCAATCCTATACGTGTACCAAAACAACTTTGGGGTCTATAAGGAGCCTATAATCGAACTGTGGATGTGAAAATCTATGAAAAAGCACTACAAAGTGGTGTGCCTGATGATAGTCTCGGATGTGGTGATTTCAAAAACACAAACAAAATTCAATTCCGATATACGGAACTCCGTGAAATGGCATTTAAAGTTTCGTGTTTAAAAGGTTCTGATTCGACATTTTTCTCGAAACTCATTTAACTTCAAGTCGAAAATATTATAAAAATAAAATCAAATATTAGACCTAAGCTTGAGTTTCAAAACATGCTCAAAAACAATTTACGAATAATGTAGCTATCCCAAAAGAAGCAGTGCATTGTTTGTTTTCGGGAAAATCAGTTAAATACTGGATTTCCACTTTAAAAGGGCATAACTTCTCCGTACAACCTCCGTTTTGGTCGTTCTTTACATCCATGTAGTGGTGAGAACATATTCTATCCAATTTTTTCATCTATAGCTCCCAAGTATACATAATGTAAAAAAAATTAGCGCATAAATAATACTTATTTTTTGAATTATTTTATGTTGTTAATGATTTTTCACTTTTCAAGCAATTTGAAGTAACTCATATGAAATTTTGAGTAATATAACTTCCCTTTGCATTCAAAATCATAGATCAACATACAATAGGTCCTATTAAAGTGAGTTTCACAGTGATTTGAATGACAGACTTTGACCTGTTTTTACCAATTGTTGCAAAAAAGAAAGCCAATTGCCCATGGTTAAAAGGCGATTAGTTTTGATATACCTAATCCGGGCCCAAACACCAAGGACAAAGGAATTATTATTGAGACATGTTTTGATAGATATTTGTTTCCAAAACAAGAAAGGGACTAAGAAAGCATAGATGCTTAATATATATATTTGAAGTGGAAGGACTGAAACATGGAGAAAGTAATTTGATCATGATTTACGAGTCCATGCTACTATCCATAGGATCAAAATATAACTCATTATCCCTAATTTTTGGTCTTCAATCAAATATATTAATTTATAATACCGTTGGAACATTACTTCTAATCCTTTTAGTATTTTACTAAGGATTAAATACTAACATTTGCAGGAATGTGTAGTGACTGACATGAAGTAAGAAGACTGGAACATGAAGATGATAATTTGATCATGAATACCAAGCCCTTGCTAATGTTCATAGGATCAAAAGACAACTATTTTCCCCAAATGTTTAGTCTATGGTATTATAATAGTTCAAAGACGATTTGAATATGAAGCTAGTATAGTAACAATAGTTCAAAGATGACTTGAATATTTGAATAAGATGTATTATCATGGAATCATCTTGGACATGTAAATGAGAAATACAGTACCAAATATCCAGGTTAATCGGATTTTGGAATCCATTTGACCACAAGTCTTATGATAAATGCAAGTTTCATTTGTCAAGATGAATGAGAAAAGCATTGTCTTATGGTATGAATATTTGTTGAAATTAGTTTAACTAATGGATCGTTCAGATTGACCACAATATGTACTGATTCAAATATATCCAAAAGGATTTGGTGAAATGTATTTGTGGAATCATATTTTTGGAGACACAAATGAGAAATGCATTACCAAGTATCCAAGTGGATTGGATTTTGGATATAATTTGATCACAAATCTTATGATAAATGCAAATTTTGTTTATCAAGATAGATGATGAATACATCACTTGGTGATGTGAACATCTGTTGGAATTAGTTCACATTAATGGACCGTTCAGATTAACAACGATACATGGTAAGAACAACTGTATATGAACATGAGTATGGAAAATTTTAGGCATTCAAAGATCTCATAAAATGAAGTTGAGAATAAATTGAGAAATAAGATGAGACACTCATATCCAACAAGGATAATGAATATCTGTTGTGATATGTCACCGGGACTTAACGCCGTTATAGGATACTTTGTCTGGGTTAAGCCTGAGAATCACAGCAAAGAAAGAATAGACGTCAGTTGTCGTCCGAGAGGGGATCCATTCTCTTGGATGAGAAGGGTTCTTTTTATACATGTTGTCATGGGGACAGACCCCCGACAATACCTTGTTGTCCTTTCTAAGCCGACAGGATGTGGAGGCATCCTATTGGCGGATCGTGCTCCACTAGCGGTTGCTCTCTATTGGTACAAAATTACCATAGGGCAGCATGCTAAGCGCTACAACTTTCGCTCTGGGAGGCATCTGGTACTATTTTCTCTTGCAGTAGACTGGAGCTTCCCGTTCTAGGTCGGACCTTGGTGCTAGAGCGTCAAGACATAAGTGTGAGGCTGCGGAAGCGGGATTAGCACTTTTTGAGCAGCGACCATTGACTAGGTCATCCTTAGATAATGGTCTCGTTATCTTTGATGTATTCCTAGTGGGATACATTAACAATATCCCTGTCCAAACTTTATCGATCATCTTAGGAATTATGAAAGAGCCTTACGAGTTGTCTCCACCCAGAACACTACCACCCGGAGTGTTTGTTTGAATGAGAAACAAATCGTTGATTTGATTTTTATATTGGATGAGTCGTTTATGCTTACTAACAGTTTGTGGACTGTACCATGAATAGTGTTACGAGAAGTCCTTTAGTCTTGTACCAAATAAGAAGGTTCATGAAAAAATCTATAAGATGTGAAGTGGGATTTAGTCCTCACTAGCACATGTGGAAGTATATGATTATGAGGCTTACACTCTTCATGAAGCACTCGATAATCTAGAACTTAGAATAAAGATGTGTTATCTTGTTGGAGAACCCAACAATTCTTTTGGTTAGTTGTTTAACAAACCCTCTAAGAATAAAGTGTTTTAGTGCTCGAAGGGCAGTCTTCCAAAAGAGGGAGTTGATATCCAAAAGAGCCAATAGGAGCCATACCGATCTTGATAAGATTTAAGAGTCAACCGACGAAAAACCTAAAGCTGGCCCTAGCATTCTATTCGATATTGAAAGATCTATTGAGGAAACTAACATACCTCCACCTCTTTCTTATAGATTTGATAGAGGATGTCATACACCTAGTTATATAGAGTTTATATTACCGAGGTAATTGAGTCACTAGTAGATAGAAAGTAGAGTATACCAGCTATCGGAAGCTATAGTAAGCCCTAAATAATGCAACATAGAAGGAGTACATGGAGAGGGATATTCAGTCCATGTATGTTGAAACTTGGTAGATCAAGCACTTGGCCTTAAATGTTCGGTGTGAGTGGATCTTCAATAAGAAACAAGCATGGATAAGATAACAAACACGTATTCAAACCAAGATAGGTTGTGAAAGGATGTGTAAGCTTATGAAGTTCGTTTATGGAATTAAACAAGCATCTCATAATTGGAATCTTTATTTCAGTGAGAAAGTTCAAGGAGTTTGAATTTCGGGAAACGAAGATGAGCCATATATATGTCAAACAAGCGGCGGTAATTGGAATCTTTGTTTCAATGAGAGAATTCAAGAGCTTGAATTTTAAGAAACATATATATATATATATATATATATATATATATATATATATATATATATATATATATTCACCCTTGTATTGTACATAACTAATATATATATATGTGTGTGTGTGTGTGTGTGTATATATATATATATATATATATATATATATATATATTCACCCTTGTATTGTACATAAATAGTGTACGATTTTATAGGAAACTATGTTTTAACTTAGCAAGTGTAAAAGCTTGGCTTGGTATGATAGTTTCTCACAATGACTCACATGGGAGATACAACACACATACAAAATATAAAGATCTATAGAGATAGATCTAAGTGAATTAAGCCAAAGTACATGGAGTTTTAAAGAAACTCGACATGTAGAACTTGAAAAGGTTTGTGCTTGATATGACATAACATTAAAAGATGCTAATGTCCTAGTTCTACTATTAAGCTAGAGGGTATGAGTCGTGTCCCACATGATTCTACTATGGGATGAATCATATATGCCATGATATGTACCAAATCTGATGACTCGTATACCTTTAGCATGCCAAGTCAGATTAGATCTATTTTGAGAGAATCAACGAATCAAGATCAATAACATTTCTCAGTGTCCTAGGGGATAAAGGAAATGATCTTGTTAGAATGGAAGAGATCAATGTAAAGGTTACACTCATGCCAAGTTCCACATTGATAAAGACGATTTATGTTCGTACTTGGAATACGTGCTTTTAAGCGCCCTTCATGATCGCCCACATAATTTGTCAATATTGTGTTTCAATTCAAATAACTTACGTCTTTTGCCTCGGGCCTTTCTCTCATTGGTGATCTTGTCATATAAATCAAAGTAGGACTAAATAAGAAGGGTTTGAGTTTTGAGTATGCTCAACAATAGCCATGACATCCTAATTGGTATAGCTTCTTGCTCCTGTACGGACGCATGCTTGTGACGGTGTTTTTTTTTTATTGGAAATTGAAAAAAGTAAAGATTTGAGATTATGAGAATAAAAGAAGTGTTTCGAAAGGTTTCGCGAAACAAATACAATCAACACCTAAGTTTAGAGGGGTAATAAAATGATTATTCTGGGATTAATTCAAACAACAATGGACTTGGATTAATTCATACAAAGTTGATATCTATCGTTCCTCATTTACAAATGTAGATTAAAAAAATCTAGCAACATACTTTGCTTTTTCTATCAACAATTTACTATCCTCTATACCCATGATACCAACATACTTATATTTCGATACCCTTCTTTTACCAACAACATTACCTAATTTTTTACCCATAATAACAATCTGCATTTACATTTTTCCTACCAATATGGATAATACAATTTAGTCATTACATATTGCTATTATCGGTATGTTGCTATTTACATGTTAATAAATGTAAGCAGATTGCTATCGTGGGTTATATATCGCTGTCACTCGTAAGTTGCAATTATGGGTAAAAAAACATAAATACATTGCTATTATATGTAAACAAATATATAGTGATTAACTGATTACCCACACTGGTAAAAAGGTAAGGTAAGTTTGCTTAAAGTAATAATTACTTGCAAGTATATGCAACGAAAATTGTACTTTTTTGTAAGTTGGACAATTTCTAGTCCAAAAAGAGAAGGGGAAATAAGATAATTAAGTATATTACTGTACAGTGGCTTGTGTAACAAGCCATTTTAGATGCCATAGTAAATAGTAAATTACGAGGTTTAGTTCAATGATGGCCCCGCCTAAGTAGCGATAGGAATCGACCCGATCCCTTTTCTGTCCGCCTGTCCTCTGCGTTTTCAACCTGGAAATAGGATCCAAGGTTTAATTTTTTTTCATGATTATTATAGTAATATTTCAGTGGCTAAATTGATAAAATTGTGTTATGCATGAAGTAAAATATATAAGTTGCGTACTTCAATAGTTATTTTCTTGAGGATATCTATTATCTCAGTGAAGTCTGGTCTTAAAGTTGGGTCTTTTTGCCAGCATTTCCCAAGAAGTTCAGCGAGCTTTGGTTGTGTGTTCTTGGGTATAGTAGGCCTTAAACCCTGAAAAGTTGGAACATATATGTTAATTTTCCACTATAAAAATGGAAATTTATAAGGTTAAATAGATAAATACAAAGACTCAAATATTTCATTCATCTAACTTGTCAAACAGTCTAATGATTTATGTTTTACCTTTTGAACTACTCCAATAGCTGCCTGTACTGGGGTCAAGAACTCGTATGGAAGCTGGAAAAATAAATATACAAAATACGTGAATATCAATGTACATAAAATATACCAAAAGTGAAAAAAAATAAAAAATAAAAAAATACCTTTCCAGTGAGCAACTCCCATAAAACAACCCCAAAACTGAAAACATCTGCCTTGAGATCATACGGTTTGTGTTCAATAACCTTCATTGTAAAAAAAGTATCATGAAAAAAACTCTTCATCAAAATTCCAACCAAACATACTGTGTTTGACATGCACTGGACCAGGACCAGGACTGAGACAGATGTCAAAGGGACAAAATAGTAATTTGTCCCATCCAAAAAGGTGAGACAAGGACTGTCAAGTCTGTCTCACTTTTTTGAGTAGTACAAAAAGTTGTAATTTTTGTCTCATTGATGTCTGTGTCTGTGCAGTGTCAGTATCAGTCAAATGCACGTTAAATACAGTACAAAGCCTAACAAACTAAGCAACATGAAGTAAGATTGATAGAAATGAAGCACCTCGGGAGCCATCCATCTATATGTTCCGGTTTCTGCTGTCATGACACCTGTCTGAGCCTTCACTCTTGCGACTCCAAAATCAGCCACCTTAACAACCTGAATACAAAATATTAGTAAGAATATTAAATGATTAAAAAAATGCTATATGGAATGCTAAAGAAGATGATTACATCGTTTTCATCCATGAGAAGATTTGCACACTTGAGGTCCCTGTGTATAATATTGTTCTGATGCAGGTAGTTCATCCCCCTTGATATATCAATTGCAACTTTGAGTAATATTGGAAGCTTAAATGTACCCTTTTGTTTGTGCAAATAATCATACACACTTCCCCCACTCATGAATTCTGTACAAATTTATACACTTACTAAAAAACTACCCATGAAAAAATAACATGGAGAAAAATAAAAATCAATTAAAAATTACCAGTTACAATGCACAAGCTTGATGGTTTAGTACATGCTCCAATAAACTGCACAACATTCTTATGTCGGATTTTCCTGCATATAGTAATTAAACACATTTCTATAAGTTTTATAATAAGAAATTTATAAACTTCGGATGAAATAACATGCATAAATATTTAAACCCAATTTGTTACTCATGACATGACATAACAGGTTGTACTATGTTTGTCAGGAATTTGACTAAGACTGATGTCAATGAGACAAAAACTGCAACTTTTTGTCTGACCCAAAAAGGTAGGATAGGGACTAGATTTCAATCTCTTGTGAAATTGACGTAAATGCCCTCCTCATCAAAAAGTTTGAGTGGGTATTGATGACAAACCTCATGATATAAACTTCTTGGGCAAATTCTTGTTGCATATCTGTGTCTATACGCTCAGCCTTAAGCATCTTGATAGCCACCTCTTGACTACGATATGTACCTTTATATCTAAATTATTAACACATGCAAAATGTCAGCATTTAAAAGAATAAAGAATGTGTAATAAATTAATACCCCTTCATCCCAAAATAAATGAAGGTTCTACTAAACATGTAAGAATTAGGATATTCCTTTACATATGTAAATCACCATTGATAATTATTTGTGAAGTAATTGACATATATTGTCATCATATGTTTAATAAACCTTCTAGGCTTCCCCTATGGTTTACATATTCTAGAAGAAGATAGTCAACTTAGTCAAAGTCAAAGTAAAGACTATGATTTCCATGTTATTTTCATTGCAGTGAATATTTATTGGTGTGTATGAGCCTACTTTCTTAAAAAAATGAAAAATCAAAAGGCTAATTAGATTTAGGCCAAAATCAAAAACCAAAAGGATGATTTAATTTGAGAAGACTTACAGATCACCATAAGATCCAGATGCAACTTTGTGATCAAGAGACAGAAACTGAGGATCAATTTCCCAAACATCTGTTCCATCATTTGGTATTCTTAAGTGATCAATTTGGCAACTTTTTCCTCTTTGGTCTTGCTGATCTTTCCAAGATTGTTTCTGTATAGGCATCAGAATGAAGTCAAATAGTCAACCTCATACTCATTGACTTACAATATCAAGTCAAACTCTCTGCAATTACATACCTCAAGCTTAGAAAGTTTTCTTTCTATTGCATCTCGGAGCTCTTCAGTTTCCTAAAAATGCATACGAAAAGAACATCTATAAAAAAACAACAGATAAAAAATGACATAGTACAAAACTTATGATTGTTTTTAAAGAGATAATGTCACTAAATAATAACCAACAGGTTTAACCACTGAAATTTCAATTATGTTCCATTGTAGTAAAATTTTGTATTTTCTGTTTCATTCTTATGAAATTTTGTAACTTTTTGCTGATGTGGACGTATAACGTGGCAAGTTAATTGCAACAATTTAATTAGATGATAACAAAGTTTCAGTTTAAACCTCTTGAAAATGAGTTTGAGGTGCCCAAATGGAACAAGCATGAAACTTGTTTACAATTTAGTGACATTGTCCATTTTTTTTAAATACAAAACTTATGGAGTTAAAAATAAGTAAATTGAAACTAACTATATGTGTGATAGATTTAAAGGAGAAGAAGAAAATACCTCAAATGCCCATCCATCAACAACAAAGACATCTAATGAGTATCCATCTACTGTAGAAAAAGCATGTGCTTCCTGGATATTCAGTCCTATTTCAGCCAGTAAGCTTGTCAACTGCATTTTTTTACACATCCAAATATTCATCATGTGCAAAAAATGATGAGGAGGAGGACATTTACGTCTTTTGAATATATGAGAGATCAAGGGCAATTCCTGGTCCTATCTTTTTGTGTGGGACTAAATCAAAAAAAATTGTAAATTTTTGTACCTGACTCAGAAGCTTTGGTTTGTCATCTGTTGAAAAGGTAATTTCATGCATTGGCCTGTATTATAATAAAAAATTATAGAGTAAGTTATCCAAGAATAAACATTATACTTTTACAATACTGAAAGTTAATTAATTAACTATATTATCTATTAATAATGTGTCCAAGAATCTTAAACATGTTAACATCTAAACAAATGGAAGTATGTAAAAGATCATAAAGCATGAAATAAATTAGTTTTAACAAGAGTGAGTTAAAGAAGCATAAAGACATTCAAAATGATTTGTGAAGTTAATATCTTGTATCAATATCATAAGAAGTTGTAACTTTTTAGTTGTCTCTTAGTTTTTTGGTGCTTAAGTTCATAGTGCACTTCAATAACATAGATTTCAAAGATAATAAGATTAGTTTTGAACTATTTTTATTAGGTAAATAACAATACAACATCATGAATGATACTGAACTAGTGTTATATATCAACATGAAAGGCTGCATATGTGCAAATAAATCAGCATAGTTAATATACCTGGGAATGTCTATGTGACTATTTACAGAATTATTTCCATTTGCTTCAAGTGCAAGGGCTTCAAGATTAGGTGCGGAACCAAAGGCAGGTGGTGGATGAATGCTGACATAAAATATATCATCAGAAAACAACATTCAAGATCTCAATATCAAAAGAGACAGAAATGAACAAGAAAAATAAGGCAATACTTGTTTAGGACTTAACAGGCTGAATAAATGAATGATATTAAATAAATCTTTGGTCAAACAAGTTAAATAATTCATAACAATGAAGTTGTATCAAATATCTGTTATTTATGTAATTCATAAGTTGACATTTTTCGTCATTCAGATTTTTTGTTCATAAGATTGATCAAACAATCATTTTATTCGGCACTAATTCTACACAGAGGGGTAAAATAGTCATTTTCTATCATTCAGGACATAATGTGTAGGTATCTAAACTTGTACCTTTGGGTTGTCTGTTTCCCAGGTGAGCTGCAGTCGACTGAATCTTCTGAACTCTGAGAAACCTGCATATGGGCAAATACAATTTAGACCTGCTATGCAATCACAAAGAATTATTAAGATGAGAAAGATTATAATAATTAATAAAATAATATTAACATGAAAAGGCAAATAGGGAGGGCATCCCATCTTGTTCACCTTTTTGGGTGGGAAAAAAAATTGCAACTTTTGTCTCATTGACATAAGTTTCAAGTTTCAGTCTAATTCATGTCAAACACAGTCTAATGCATGTCAAACACAGTATAAAATAAACAAACCTGAACAAGGCGAACATCGAATACAGGTCCATTAACAGGATCATGTGCTAAACTCAGCAATCTCTTGTGCATGAGTACATCTTCTGCCCTTTCAACATTTACATCAAGTGCATACCTTCAATGTAGTAAAGAAAATGCATCACATATGATATGAATAAATTATTCATCTTTAATTTCCAACCCGCCAGAAGAAAATATTAAAATATATTATCCAAGTTGTATTAAAAAACAAAGAAATCCCTAGGTTAAGCAGATCCACTTACAGACAAACACAACATATAAAATATTATATAATGTGGAAAGATTTATATAGAATAGTTGAAAAACTAATAAACATAGACAAATTGCTACGCAGAAAATCGATGAATACATTCAATCAATGATAGATGACAAAAAAGTGTCTGAAGATCGAAGAAACAAAATCTGCTTCCTTCAACACCAAATGTTAATTCCGCCTTTTTCAATCCAAATCAACATTAAAAAAACATAAAATTTATTTACAAATGTGATCTGTATTTACGTTCTGATCATCTGTGGTTCTATTATCAAAAAATAGTTTGAAATTGAAGGGCTATTCAATAAAAAAAGAAGATTAATGGAATTCACATATACCTTGTCGGAAGACGATTGAAGTGCGCAAAGAGCTCGTCATCAAAACCAGGTTCTTTGGCTTCATCGCTGTTGGATTCTTTGAGTCGCAGAATAATCTCATTGTAAACCTCTAGCTTTTGTATCTGATTCCGGTTATTGTTATTATTCATCGCCGCCGTGGACGGCCGCTTCGATTCCATACTCATACTATCACATCGCTCGTTATCCACCGTCACCATTGATACAAAATCAAAAATATATTTATCTACGTAAATCAAATTAAGCAACAAAAACCCCAAAATTCTTTCGAGATCCGATTGAATCACTTTTCAAGTTATAAAAGGAAGATTGAAGAACGTAATCTTCAAATTTGATACGCAGTGTGCCTTCCGCTATGTGCATACATTGTGTGCATATTCATGCCTTCTCTCACCCTCTCTATATATAGTATGTGTAGGGAGAAATTCTTAATTTATCTGTTTTCTATTTCGGGTTAAAAACGGTGTCGTCCTGTGCAAATTAAATTTCACAAGAGAATGAAATTGTCGTGTATAGCATAAGTCCTTCGATTAACATAATTCATCGACAACATTTTAGCAGTATGATGTTTATCCTTATCAAAAAAGTGGGCATATTTTAATAAGATTTGTTGGAAAAGTCTTTAAATATATAAAGACATAAAACCGGGTTAATGTTTTTATTTTTAGGAATTTTGCTATTGAAATACTTTTAGTCGGTTGTAGAGATGATATAGTAAGATACTACTTTATGATAATGAAATTTTATGGATCAAACAAGATAATATAGTAAAATTACAATATAATAATACCCTCTCATGTAAAAAGAAGGCAATGGGATAATACACATTGTCAAACAAAGAATACATAAAGATTAAAAATAAGATAATATATATACCATCTATATAAGAGGAAAAATAATATATTTACTGTAAAATAATATTTTCTACGAAAATATAGTAAGATTACAATATACGATTTGGATCATACTGAAAGAATATAATAAGATTCATTAAAATGATACTATTTGATACGGTTCATACTATTTGATACGGTTCAGACATAAATATTAAATATTATAGTAAAATTATCCGGATCATACAGAAAAAATATTTTAAGAAATAAGACACATAATAAAATTTCGATATTAATTTAGTTGTTTTGATTGTAGATTTTTTGTATTTGTGATATAAATTTTGGAATTATTTTAATTCATAGGCTTCACTGAGAATGTCATTTTTTAAATATATATCTTAGAACCATATTGTACATAATTTTGTTAAAGTAAAATATTTTCGAAATTAGCGGTTAAATTTTATGTTATATAATTATAACACGTCAAGAATAATACATTTCATTATGGAACTTTTATTTGATTATAAGTTTAACATATTTATCATTAAGTTATCGGTTTTAAGAGTATTTATTGTAAATTAGAACTAATTAAATTATTTCTTTTTATTTACATATAATTTGTCTATATCTTGACTTTATAGTTCAAAAATTGGAATTATAAAGATATCATATCTTTAGTGTAAAAGTAGAAAGGTTGACTTTGGCGGGTAGTTGAGCTTTAATTTGTAGGTATAGACAAAGTAGTGTAGACTTCATGTGAGAAATGTGAATTGTAGATAAAAAGGGTTAGGGGATGGAGAATATGGTCTGGCTTGTTGATTTTATTTATAAATTTAGCTAAAAGTTAAAGGTTTGTATATGTTAGAAAAAATGTACTGAAATGTTTATAATTGTTGTGTTTTGTTTTATTATAAATCTTAAATTATAGTTTAATAGTTTAATTTTGTGATGTGATTTTGTATAATGTTGATTGATACATTTGAAAAGAACCATTCTATTAAGGTGATATTATTCGTATATCCCTAACTCATATAAATTGTCAAATCATGAGAGATACGCAAATACAATTCCACTCACAAGGGCTATACTAAGCACTTAGGAAGGGGGGAGGGGGTACATATATAATTTTCCATCTATTAATAGGTTAATTGTATAGGTACCATTCCAATTGTTTTGTGTACCCTTCTTATGTGAATGTGTGTGTCCCTAATGATTTGACTTTTTTTTTGTGAGTGAAAGGAATACATATAATAATATTAGGGTCACTTAAAATGAATGTGATTAAATTTAGTATTCTCATGAGAAAGGCGATTAAACTTTGAATGGTCAAATCATTGTAAGTAAACTTTTTGTTTGCTTACAATGTTAATGAGTTCATCATGTAAGAGAATATCAAAGTATTACATGATTGGGTATTATTATTTAGAAAAACATATTCTAATAAGACAATAGAACTCTAAAAGAGCAACCTTTTAACATATTCACATTGAAACTTGAATCAATACATATGTATCGATATTTATATGAATATTTATATGTTGTGTTGTAGAGTCCGGTCTTCCGTTTGACCTTATTTTATTTGAGCACTTCATATATAATAGAATCCAATGCTTTAATCCGTAAACTGAAGACTCGGGGCAAATGCGTTTGGTGAAGTTGTTGAGTGTTGCTCCCCTATGAAGCTGCAAACTATAAGCGAAGTCTTAGGGCGAGGCCTATAGCCTGATAAGACCACTCGGTGTGGGCAACCGAGTGATGAGTCCAGGTAAGCAACGAAAAGCTTCTTCATCTCCACCACTTATTTTGGAGGTGGTGTTCCATTAAGAAACGGGGTTGAGGTGAAGAAAAAGCTAAGGAAGAAAGAGAGAAATCAAAAAGAAAATGGCGTTGCAGCTCGTTTCCATGGCCACTGAAGATCACATAATGGGAAGGGGGCGGTGTTCCCCCGATGGTAACGTCGTTACCAGCCTGCCACGTCGACAAAAACGCACATGGCGTTGCCCACACCGTTTAGTCTAAGCGAAGCTTTAAAGCAAAATGGTGGTACCCATATCATTTGCTAGATTTGTCAACATTGTTGTCAGGACTTTGTTTTATTTGTTCATTTTAGGTCAACTCGTATGTATAAATAGATTTCATATGAATTATTGTAATCCTAAATAGAAAATGTATAATTAGCGTCGTCAATAAAATAAATTTATTTCTAATTCATCCATGGAGGTAGCTCGATTCGAGTGAACTACAGTTTAATTATTGTGCTTTTTTTTCAGATCTTTGTTTTATTGTGTTTGTGTGTTCAACCATTCCATAATCCTAATCCTATCATTATAAACCCATCATTTAAATGAAGTAACTTGTGGGTTAAAATGATAGTGATCAATATATTAATAATAATATTCGTTAATCGAATAACTAAACTTAAAAACTTTCTAGGAAAAAAAATCTTTTTTAAAATAAAAAGTATCTTTTGAGTTATGTCTTCTTGTATACTAAAAGCTTGAATAGACTAACAAATACTGAGAAAGTGAGAATGCATAATCGAGCTTGATTTTTTTAATATCATGTCATTGTAAGTTTTTTTATTTTTATTTTTTAATTATTTAATGCAGTATAAATTGTTGTAAAAGATTTAGTGTTTTAATGCTATAATCCAAGTTATTTTGACCAATAAAATGGTATTTTACATATTCGAGTCATTCGAATTGGTGAAAAATTATTGACTTGCCGCAGAAAACGTAAACGCCTTGGAGTTGGAGGTATATATGCCACGTGGGAAGATCAGAAAAAGTGACACGGCAACAAGAAAGCGGCTTTTCGGAGTCCCAAGGGGTCGGTCACATTGACCGGTCAATGAGGTCGTTGCATGAAGTTGTTACGTGACCTCGTAATTAGCTTTTTCCATGTGTTTAGGCGCGATCGATTTTACATTAGAGAATTCTAAAATGGGCATATTCTACAGATTTATGCTCTATTTCAATTCACGATTTTATAATAATTGACTTCATATAATAAAATAACATAACTTATAAAACAAGTAAACAAATATGCGATATATGTTAAATAAATTTTTTATTTTTAGATGGTTTATCAAAAAAACAAGTCTAGAATATTTATTCCGATAACCATATTTGTAAACAAAACATCACATACTAACCATATTTTTTAAAATAACAATTTTTGAACGGAAAATGTAATCTATTCATATGAACTACTCCTAATTGAATCTATGTTTCTAACATATTTGAATCTTTGATCTCAAAGATAGAAGATAACATTACATACCGCTCGACTAGAAACTCAATAAATTTTTAAAAAGTAACAATGATACTTTTTGAAAATTTATTTAAAAAAAATGCATTACTCTATACGAAATTGGTCTCCTTTTTATAACATATGTCATTTTCTTCTCCAACATCACTTCATAAATTTTCTTTTCAAATTTCTCTGTATAATTTTATCATGAAAATGTTCGAAACACAAAAAATCTATAAAATATTGATTTACACACATATATATATATATATATATATATATATATATATATATATATATATATATATATATATATATATAAAAGTTCAACAAGGAATCATAACTTTTTATCCCCATTCCATTGATATCAAATTCGATATAATTTCTTTTATATTTTTTTGATCTGTTCAGATTCGCACTGTGAAACTAAACAGATTAAAAAAGTAAAAAAAATAAAAATAAATAAAAATTTATATCGAAATTAATATAAATGGAAAAAGGATGTAAAATTATGAATATATATATATATATATATATATATATATATATATATATATAAAATAAGTTCTAAAAGTTGACAAAAATATTGATTCCTTGGTTTTTAAGTTTTAAAATAGTTCATTGTTGAACCCTACCATATATATATATATATATATATATATATATATATATATATATATATATATATATATGACGGAATCAGAAACTTTTATAAAGGATAACACAAAAACAATCCAGATAAAAGATAGTAAGATAATTTTATTTAATTACGATTTCATTAGATATAACAAACTATCGCAAAAGTCTTACATTTTAAAGTTGACATTTTCGTTTACCCATTTCCGAAAAACGCTTTATCACTCGTTCAATCTTAACATTCATAAATGCTTATATTTCTACACTACAAATCAAAACATCGTTCAAATTTTATGATGCCGTTAAAAAAGCATCGTTCAAAAAATCATCACCAATTTTATTACGTAAGTCGGTCTTCAAGAGCATCATTGCAGAAAAACGTCTTTCAACGATTATGGTTGCGACGGACAAAACAAAAGTCAACTTTAATAATCTATAAATCAAAAGAAAAGAACAATGTTTCCCGGTCCCCGAATCATTAGAATCCATTTTGTAGAACCCACTTAGTTTTGCCAACTTTGATTTGTCAAATTTAGAAAATGAATTACAATGACTCAAAGTTGCCATGTAATCTAGCAAATTCGTGCATACTTCAATAAAACGGTCCCCAAATTCTTGTATTTGCATATCCAAAACT